TATGTATTTATTATTATAATTTAAGTATTTTATTAGATTTATTATTAATTATTTAATCTTTTTTGAAAATTAAAAATGTAGTTTTCTTGTCAATGCTCTAGTGTGGATCAGGCCAAGCGTACTCCGTCCGCCTTGCGCCGCTAGTCTCTAACTACTAGGTAGTTACTTTAGTACCCTACTTAGTAGGTACCTAGTAGTTATAGAGCCTGCCGAATTCGCCTGGTGCCCAAGTTACCAGGTACTTCATTTGCTGCATCTCAGTTTTCACTTAATTTTCTCTCCCTGCCCTTGTTAACAGCATTCGGACAATAATGAATTGACTAGAACTGTACATCAAGGAATGACCACTTGGCAACTGCTCCCTAACCTAGAGATCCCCACTCGCCTTGCCAAAGAGAAACACCTTTCCGAACCGACTGCAACACTCAACGAGATCTATTTGAGTCCCAACCTGAATCGCGTAAGCGTACCGCAGCAAGGTTACCAGGCTTGGCAACGAATAGGCGATGACTGACTTCACGTCTCGAATCCATCGCTGAGTTACACTTGGCATAAGTTGAGTTCTTCAACACAATCTTATTACTGGTGCTGCTCTTGCGCTTTTCCAGCCAGACGTCCAGCCAACCCGGCATCACCTGGCGATTCTGGAACTGCGGCCGCCCTTATATGGGACTTTTCTCCTGTAAGATGGTCCGGGCGGACCCTATTTTCACTTCTCTCACGATTGCAGTCGCTTACACGTCAGCAATCTAGATACCCGAGCCGAGGTGGCGCCACTTAATTGCATAGAGGCTCAGCTAAACGCCTTATATGATTAACTAAAGCCCTCGCCATGCAAGCTAATCGAGATGAACGGCTACTAGGACTTGAGGATCGTCTTCGTGGGCTAATACTTGTCCATCAGGTGTCTCCAAGTACTAGCACGGATCGAAAACCTCGGATGTCGAGCCTCACATCCGGAGAGACATCTGGCGCACCTTCCTACTCCCACTCAGCCCCCCCATCTCAACAATTTGCGAATCCTTCGACGAATTCAGGCACACAAAATAATACACAGTCTCCCAGACCAGGGAGAAGACGTCCAAACCAGGCTCAAAGACGCCAAATGAGCTCGGGGCTCTCTGTTGCTTTGGGTTCGCAATGGCAGTCTTTGGGTCAAAAACCTGAGATGGCCGACACGAGCTATGGCAGCCCGGTCTTCCGTCCTCTCGGTATAGATCGAGGCACGTATAACTCTTATGCGACTAGCGACATGAGGCAGCAAGGTATTCGCCCAGGGCCGAGACCAAGAATTGCAGAAGCAAATAATTGCACTATTTCTCAGTTCTCAGGATCGCCAGACTTCTGCGGGCCTCAAATTGAGCGTTCCCAGAGGTCTAGCTGGCATCAACAATCATTCTCACCTCAGAGTCCCCAATACATACAAACCCATCACCATGCCAGTCGTCGACAGTATTTCGACCAGGAAGATGTCGTTGCCCAAACTGCTTTACTTGATAGGCTTTGCCATGAAGTCGTTCGCAGTTCTGAAATAGAAAGAGATGAAATTGCTCAAAAAGAGACTTTCAGACAACGAGTTGAAAGAATTTGTCAGAAAACAATTTCCGATTTTGAACAGAACATCATGGGCTCGCCTTACTTTCCAAGTTCGTCTGTTGAGCTCAAATGCTTTGGAAGTTTGTCATCCGGATTCGCTACAAAAGCCTCAGATATGGACCTAGGACTATTTTCGCCCTTTTCCAGCATGCAACCGGACGCGGCAGGGTCGATGATACCACGGATGCTCGAGAAAGCGTTCCTGGACGCGGGACTCGGCGCCAGACTACTCAGTCGGACAAGAGTCCCAATTATCAAGCTGTGTGAAAACCCACCCGAAGAGCTTCGCAACGCGTTGCTTTTGGAACGACTGAAATGGGAACACGGTACAGGGGATGTAGATGCTTCAGAAGACCAAGAAGAATATGAGCCAGATTCAAAAGTTAACGAGAATGCTGGCAACCTGACGACGGGCAGCCACGTTACTGAGTCTGCGCCACCGGTAGAGTTCGGATCTCCGGCGAGGGATAATGGTGGAGAAGACCAGCGCTTCCAGTTAAAACAAAATGCTCAAAGCTCACTTCGATTGTATTATGCCTTGGCTAAGAGGGTATTGAGAAGAGCTGGAGGTCGTGATGTTACAGCATCTAATTATCGTGAATTCTCTGATATGGAATGGGTGACTCTCAAAGGGGTCTGTCAAGCGTTTGTGCGTGGATTACGCAACTCGGAGCTTCGGCGCAGATTGGAATCATGTCCCTCATTGTCGTTCGGGACGTCTTGGTCAGCGACAAGCTATCGATCTCTTGCGGGGATTTGTGTCCAGGCAGAAGGCGAGCAGATTTGTTCGGTGTGGGACAATTGGTCTTCGAAAACGCTCATTTGTGATTCAGATGCGCAGGCTATGGAGGCCATGAGTGCTTGGAGGGATGTTCAGCAGAGAACAGATTTTGGAGCTAACCCCCTTGCTTATGACCGAGACCTACATTTTGCCTTCGAGAGGATGAAGCGGCTACCATTAATTCAACTTTGTCGATTAAAGCAAGATGTATATGAACCCCCAGCATCGTATCACCTCCGATCACGAGTCATCGCAGGTAGCTTGGTCAAGATGGGTATAAACATGTCAGATTTAGCGCTCAAGGAGGTTGCGTTGCGGTACATTGCAGGAATCAATGACGACAAAATTCGTGGGGACATGATGAGTCTGTCAAATCAGTCCCAGCAACCGATGGAACTTGAGGAGCTGGGACAGAAGCACAAATGCCTAGATCTTGCCTACAAACTCGAAACGGCGATTGATAACAATCTTTATGACGAAAAGCTTACTGGAATCATCAAAGACTACATCAAGATATTGCGAACGCCACTGGTCAAGGTTACTGGGGATCAGCAAATTGTTAGGTTCATCATTCCAGTAACTCAGGCTGTATTGCCATTGCTATCCTCTATACAGCTCCTCCAGCATCCCCATACGTTTTCAGTCAAACAGTCACGGAACAGATACCGAGATGCCCTGGAGTTTCCATCTGGTGGAGTCGGAGTTCAATGTGATATCAATTTCTCGGCACACCTTGCTCTCCAAAACACTTTGCTGCTCCGTTGCTACTCCCTTACAGACTCCCGAGTTCGACCCATGGTCTTGTTCGTCAAAAGGTGGGCCAAAGTTCGCGGGATAAACTCTGGATACCGTGGCACGTTGGGAAGCTATGGTTATGTGTTAATGGTGTTGCACTATCTTGTCAACATTGCAAAGCCATTTGTATGCCCCAACCTCCAGCAACTCACTCCTCCCATGGCCACACTTTCTTCCCCTTCCAGCAGCCTGAATGTGCCAATGTGTCAGGGATATAATGTTGGATTCTGGCGTAATGAGAACGAAATCATGCATCTCGCAAGCAGTCACCAGCTCAACCAAAACACCGAAAGTATTGGCCAGCTGCTTCGAGGCTTCTTCGAATACTATGCTCAAGATGGGCCATTGAGCCGCGGGTTTGGCAAAGGATTCTGTTGGAGAAGAGACGTAATTAGCATTCGTACCCATAATGGCCTCATGACGAAGCAAGAGAAGGGCTGGACCGGGGCTAAAACAGTGTATGAATGCCAAAGCCCTACCGGTGAGGGTTCGATGAATTACTGCGGGGAAGAGCATTTGTCATCAAAGACTGCGCGTTCAGACTCAGCTGGACCGAATACAGCCCATCCGTCAGTGACGAACAGAAAGCACGGGCAAGTGAGAGAAGTCAGGCAAAGGTATTTGCTTGCCATTGAGGATCCCTTCGAATTAGATCATAATGTCGCTCGAACTGTGACACATAGTGGCATTGTATCAATCCGCGACGAATTTCGGCGAGCCTGGCGGCTTATTCAGACAGCTGGGAGCGAAGGCTGGAGCGAACACTTGCTAGAAGATGCCAGCGAAGCTATGAACGATCGCCAATCCTTCATGAGGCTCTTGGAAGATGTTCATGGACCTCAGGACCAATGGATGCAGGCCCAGTTTTGAGCCATTGCGTACCTAGAGTTACATGATCTCAAAGTAATATTGTTCCACTACAGTTGAATATACCTCGAAGTTATACAAGGTGTAGAATGTTTGGACTAGACATTACGCCCTGCAATTGCGTGGTTTTTCCGGTTTCATTCTATTCATTTTGGATACAGCGCCTTTCTGTTTTCGGCGGCACCCAGTATTGGATCTGGGTATCCTCTTTCAGGCTACAGAACATGAGCAGACGGTGACCCTCAATTGTCCCACGCTAAGCGACTGCAGAAAGCCTCGTTGGCTGCTTAACATAAACATATTCGCTTGGTATTAGTAGTAGCCTCAAGGTATGATAAAATACTAGTAGTCTATGAGTGCGTAAATAGCAACCGCCCGTCTTGAAATGATCTCTCTCTTGTGATCATTATCAAGTTTTGCAGTTTCGCAGTAAGCTTTTGTTTTATGACCATCCGTACTAGCCTAGCTTTCTTCAACCCTCCAAGTCCAAAACACTAAATGGATTATTGTCATCCTTGTTCGTGTTTGTGCCGCTCTTAGCAGACAAAGCGGACTCAGAGTTATCGATCAGAGTTGATTCGATCTCCTCACTCTTGTTGTAAGGAGGTTCATTCCCCCCGAACTTCTTAGTCAAAAGTGCATCGAGAGCATACAGTGATCTGCTTTTCTGAAGTTCTCGTACTATTCTAAGGAGATCAGTTGTACAAGGATAGAGTTCCACGGGTATCAGCTCGGACAGCATTGTGCATAATCCTGTAGCCTCTGGAAGAAATTCTTTTTCGGGATTGAATACCGAGCGCAAGGTTTGCTGAAGGACCCGAAGTGAGTACAGCGTCGCCTGCATCTGTGCTGCAACGTGGACAATGCCCCATGCCACACTATTATCCCCCGACTTTACTGTCAGGCCGACAAAGTATTTTTCAATAGTCTCCGTGAGCGTTTCTCCCCCTCTCTGAATGGATTCCATCTTGTCGAGAGCCATTGCCAAAAGAATCCAGAATTTAATATCATCACGCTGGATATCGGCCTCGCAACACTCTGCGCATGATAAAATATCGTCCAAATGCTCTCGCACGAGAATCGTCGGTAAAAGCTCTATTTGACGACCAGCATACACGACGCTCTCGACGCGCCTAAATTCGCGAACTTGAAGACATCCATCTTTTCGAGGAAGAATATAGCTTCCAATAGAATATGCAAGTTGGCGAATGGGAGTGCTTTTGTCCCAGGCACTTCTCAGACCTGGACATTCCGTCAACGGAGGCAGAAACATCCTGATCGGGGAGTTCATAGATATGCTGGAGCGTCTTGAGTAAAATTCCAGGATAAGCTCAGACACCCTGGGGTCCAAATCGTTCAGATTAGGTACGCCCAGTCCAACTTTCTGCAAGCGAACAACTTCCTCGGACATGGTATAATTTCCTACAAATTCAATATAATCAGCAGATCGTGGTGTCGGCTTCAAGCACATATCGATTAATCGCGAGAGAGTTGCTTGAGGGGCCATTTTGCGTTCATATGCCAGTTGTATTGCTTTTTCGGGGTACGCCAAGCCGACCTTTTCAAAAATCTGCCTAGGTGCAAAGCTTAGAAACTTGAAGCAGTGTCCGGACTCGGTGTGTAAGTCTCGGAAGAAAGCGACTTGTCCTTCTCCAAGATTGTGTACGAGCAAATCAGAGTCAGACGTAATCAAGACACCACCGTGCATTGAGACATTAGCTGCGCAAAAGTGGTCGGCTTCACCTGGCACAACCTCTGTTATATTCCGATATTGCGTAGATTCTCTGAGGCAATTCAACACGGCCGGCACCAGGAAGCAAGGATCTACCAGAGGGCATACATCCGTACCTCCTGATTTGTAGATATCAATGTCTGCTCCGATGTCATCCGCTGCAAGGCATGATACTGGGCATCCCTGGAGGTGTGAGACATATAGGCGTTTCAGTCGCGTAGTAGCCCTCATCATCCTGCCCATGCGAACCTGTAGCTTTGCCCGAGGTAGGAAGCCATCAAAATATAATTTTCTTCTACTCAAGTATGTCAGACAACCGCCACAGGGTATACCGGTTCCAGTGAGGGAAAGAAATATGTGGCTCGGGTATTCACTTACATGAGCACGTTGTGCCGACAAAGCGAGTCAAGCCAAGATACAGTGACACGATTGAGAAGAGCATATGATGGTTGTTGAATGCCACTTGCTCTGCAAATATGAAGAATGTGGTATGCAAGCGCAGGACCATCTATGACCACAGCCTCATTTTCAAGAGCGGCCCAAGTAGCTAGTGGCCGTAGAGTAGTATATAAGTGCGAGATGCCCATTTTGAAGACGGTAGTGAGTGAACTGATATGTAAATCGCTCAAAAGCGGCCTATACGGACAGGTACCTGGATGCATCTATTCATGGGGCCTGGGGGCTGAGGGTCCGCAAATCCGAAGAACAGGTGGTTCGCTTGGTTGCGAAACGCCCGAAGATGTGCTAATAAGTGCTGCTTGTCCGCACTTGGTCGACTGCCTACTTACCATAGCGCGCTAAGGGGTCTTCTAGTAACTGTTCTCTAGCTATTATCTATTATAAGATAATTAAATAGAATTTTTTACTTAATATATAAGACTTTTAATAATTAATAATAATTTAAGACTTATCTTATAATAGTTATACTATTACTAGAACT